AACCATAAAAATTCTAGAAGAATCCAAAGGCAACAAAATCTCAGACATATGCCGAAGCAGTTTCTTCACTAATACAGCTCCTAGGGCACTTGAAACTAAAGAGAAAATGAACAAATGGGACTACATCAAAATAAAAAGCTTCTGCACAGCAAAAGAAACCATCAACAAAACAACGAGAAAACTGACTGCGTGGGAAAACATATTTGCCAATGTCATATCTGATAAGGGCCTAATCTCCAAAATTTATAGGGAACTCATACAACTTAACAAAAGGAAGATAAACAATCCAATCAAAAAATGGGCAAAGGACCTAAACAGACACCTTTCGAAAGAGGACATTCAGAAAGCCAAGAGACATATGAAAACATGCTCAAAGTCACTAATCATCCGAGAGATGCAAATCAAAACAACAATGAGGTACCATCTCACACCTGTCAGACTGGCTATCATCAACAAATCAACAAACGACAAGTGCTGGAGAGGATGTGGAGAAAAAGGAACACTTGTGCACTGCTGGTGGGAATGCAGACTGGTGCAGCCACTATGGAAGACAGTATGGAGTTTCCTTAAAAAACTGAAAATGGAACTCCCATTTGACCCTGTGATCCCACTCCTAGGAATATATCCCAAGAAACCAGAAACACCAATCAGAAAGGATATATGCACCCCCATGTTCATAGCAGCACAGTTCACCATAGCTAAGATCTGGAAACAGCCTAAGTGCCCATCAGTAGATGAATGGATTAGAAAAGTGTGGCACATCTACACGATGGAATACTGTGCTGCTCTCAAAAGGAAGGGACTCTTACCATTTGCAGCGTCATGGATGGAACTGGAGAGCATTATGCTAAGTGAAATACGCCAGTCAATGAAGGAAAAATACCACATGATCTCACTCATTCATGGATAATAGAGACCATTATAAACTTTTGAACACTAATAGATACAGAGGCAGAGCTGCCTCAAACAGATTGTCAAACTTCAGCGGGAAGGCCGGGGAGGGGTGGGGGGCAGGAGATAGGGGGGTAAGAGATCAACTAAAGGACTTGTATGCATGCATATAAGCATAACCAATGGACATAAGATACTGGGGGGTAGGGGAGGCCAGGGGACTGTCAAGGGCGGGGGAAAAAAAGGGACACATATGTAATGCCCTTTGTAATACTGTAAGCAATAAAAAAAAAAAAAGTATCTGCTGCCTGATGAGTTGATGCAATCTTAGGAGTATCTCTTTTGACATCTGAGCAGTAATCAGCCATTATGGAAGCTGGCTGAGGGGAAAATAGTCCAAATAAACCACCACTGCGAATCGGCCTCAGCCATGTGACAGGAGCACTGGCCCCCAAACCCTCGCCCTCCCTTTTCAGGCCAGTTAACAACCATGTGTGGGGAGTAGGTGCTTGGATGATCTCTGAAATGACCCTGGCTTCCAGGGCTGCAGAATATTCTCAAACTCTCAGGAATGTGGGCAGACGGGGGGAGGGGCCCAGAGTGCTGAAGTTCTCTGCCAGAGGATACTGTCAGAGAACCCAAGGCAGAGATGGTCCCTATGCCCCATGTTTCCATGGAAACATAGGAGGAGTGATGACAGCCTGCACAGCCACACCATCTGCTTGGGACCTGGTGAATGATGGAAAAAATGGAAACAGAAAAGCACCTCAGTCCCAGGCTAGAACCACTTGGAGACAGCAGTGGAGAGACAAAGGCCTGAAGACGCTAGAACGCCTAGGTGGATTAAAACCCAAGCTGTCCAGGCTCCACAAATTAGCATGTAATTTGCAAGCAGAAAGCCTCGAGGGCTTATTCTGCAATCCAAAGATACAGTGAGGAACACCCAAGAAGCCCCTGGAAGGAGAAAGGCTGCCTGTGGGTCTGCAGCCTGGCTGAGCAGGAGAGAAGGTGCAATGAGGAGCCCTGCAGGGGAGGAAGAGGGGGAGCAGAGGCTCCCGTCACCTTCCAGCAAGACCACCTGCACAGCTGGCTGCCAGCCAAGCATCCTCTTCTAGGGGAATAGAGATTATAAAAGGAAAATCTCCTCCTAGTCACAAAGGCGACCTCTGAGTGGTAGCCACCTCTTCAGGATCGGGGATGAGTTAATAAAGCCATGCATGCTCAGCCAAAGGGAGGTCTGAGTTGGATGCCACAGATTTGCTTCCGGGCCCACTTAGGAGGCTCCCACTCCAGGCTCGGGGATGGGAGTGGAGCCCTTGCTAAGGGCACTGGTGCGCTTGCCCCAGACTGAGAAGGATTCATTCCCAAGGCCTTTTCTTCATAGATTTTGCCGAAACAAACCTGCCCTGCAAAGCCCAGCAGCTCCCCTCCTTGAGCTGCTTCCCCCACGGCTCTCAGGAACTGCGAGGTGCTGTGCAGTGTCTGTGGAAACGCGGATCTGTCTCAGGAGAAAGGTCCCTCAAGCCTCAAGGTCATTAGTGCGCACAGATGCTACATCAACTTCTTAGGAACTATCAGATTTTTTTTTAAATTTTTAATTTAGGTAGTCCCTCACTCCTGGATGAAAAATGTTTCCCTTTCAGTTCTGGCATTCTAATTCCAGGAAGTCCAAGCCCCGTTTTGCTTTGTATTAGGGATTTAAAATTTGACAACTAAATTAAATGCTTGTTTTGGAATAGGTATAAGGACTGAAGAATAGTGGGGCCACCTTAATAAACCAAATAAATAATAATAACAACAAAGATCTCTCTACTAAGGCTCTTATCAATTGTTCTACATTGTACTTTTAAATACTATTCATTTAGACGTATTTCCACGATGCCTTAGTAAAAATGATATCTACAACTATTACTAGGGTTTCTTCAAAAGGTGCTGTTCCCCACCTGGACGTTCTATCCCCTGGAAATAAAAGTATTAATGCTGGCTAGAGGTCCAGGCTAGAGGCCCCACGCAGAAAATAGGAGCTGTTTCAGATGAAAAAAATTTAAATACCCAGTGCAACTGCTTGAGGTTCAAGTACACTCGTGTATGAACAGGAAGCACCGTGCCTAAATTCAAATATAAATCTTCCTTTGGAGATGTGGCTTTGGGGGAGAGGCCTGTCATGGTAAATGGACCCACGGGCTCCAAGCACCCCAGAGCTTTCTCTTTCCCTTTCTGGGGCCATCTACTCATCTCCAGACTCCACAGCGGCGAAGGCAAATCTGTATCTTGAGCTTCAAGCCCTGGATGGGACTCCCAACAAACATGTTCTGTTTGTCCTTCAGCAGCCCTCCTCTGTATAAACAGATGTGCTGGGAGGGGAGGGAGGGCCAGGGCTCTGCGAGGGTGGGAGGTCCGCTTTCGGGAAGCTTCCCTGCTGCAGCCCCCAGCACAGGGACAGGATGCATTCCTTGTCCAGACTGTGGAACTTGCAGTTCTTCCAAAGGGGCTGTTCCCTCCTCTCCTCCACCCTCCACCCGCACCTTTTGTTCCTGGGAATGCTGTCTGGATGGCTCCAGAGGCTCACTTTTGCCAGAGCAAACATTTCCAGCAAAGGCGTCTGCTAAGGAGATATTAGGGAGACAGATTTTATTTTTCCTCTCCAAATACACTGCGGACTGGGCTTCGGGAAGACAGCTCTTCTCACCTGTGCTTGTTCAGTCTCTTTGTTCTCCGGTAGCCTTGGTACTACCTTCGCCTAACGAGGGAGGCTTTTAGGGACCCGCGTTGTAAGCTTGTAAAATAACAATTCCGTTTTCTGGAACTATGTGGACAGTCACTCTGCTTTAATTTACTGTTTTACATTTTGCACATTAGTTACGGATGCTAATAAAGGAAGGACTACTTTTGAGCCGGGGGAAGGAAAGGGCGAGCATTTTGTAATCCAACTCCAAATAGGAAGGAATTCTCATTGGTCTTTTCTTCCCCTGCATGTTCACCAGACGGGGTTTGTTAATCCTCATGCACAGGTCAGGGGGGTGAGAGGGTGACACTCAGGCTTGACCCTGGAGGGATCCTGTGCCTTCTACCCAAGGGTCTAGATTTCCAGGGTCCCCAGTCAGTGGTTCTTCTCACTGAGGAAGAACAAAGGGGAAGAGTACCAGAAAGGCCTCCCCCGGCAGGAGTGGGGGTTTGGTGCAAGCGGTGGGACCTCACTACACTGCTCCGTACCGCTCTCTCCAGGAAACCTCGGGAATCCCCAGCGAGGTTCCCAGAGCTGTGTCCAAGGGCGGGAGGGTGGAGGCTCAGGAGGGTTCCCGGTTTGGGAGAAACAGATTTGGACATGGGCTTCTCAGCAAGTCTCTAAGAGTCGGGAGGGGGAAAAAAGGTCCTTTAAAATCAGGAAGGATAATAAGGACTTGATTTTTAAGAGCCACAATGACACTCTATCATCTTCCAGCTGACAGTGCGCCACTCTCCAGACTGGAATCCGGGCAGGAAGTTTGCAGTCTGCACCCAGAGGCCAGCCCCCTTCCCTGTAAGAAATACAAAGAGGGGGGCTTGGTTTCCAGGGACTGGCCAGCTGAAGGATGGTGGGGCCCCACTGCAGGCCGAGCTGCAGGTCCGGACAGGAGAACTAGCCTCCCGGTCCCCTTTATTTCCTTTAACTTACTGACTCCAGATATTTTAAACGGTTTGTTTACGGCGCTGCTGGAGGCGGCACAGTTAACTCTCACGGGCCTGGGGCGTCGGGAATTTCCCGGCCGCGACTCCAGGTCTGCAGTCCCCGCCGCCAGGGCGCCCGGCGGGGTCACCGTGATCCTGGGCCCTAAAGAGCGGGCCGGCCGGCCGGGCGGCGGGGGTGCACCGGCGGCCTCTCAGCATCCCCCGCCCGCTCCCTGCCCCAGGCGCCCCGGAGCGGCCGCGGGGCGGCGGCGCGGGGGCGCGGGGGGCGGCGCGGCCTGCGGGCGCCGCGGGACCCCGAGGGGCGGCGCGGGGAGCGCAGGGGCGCGCGCGGGCGCGGCTCGGGGCTCCGGGTGCGCGCCTCGGCCTCGCTCGCGCACACGCGCCTCCCAGAGGAGAAAGAGGCGGCGGCGCGGAGCGGCGGGGGCAGCGGGCCGGGCGCGGGGCGGGGAGGAGGAGGGGCGCGGCGGCGGCGGGGCGAGCTCGCCGCTCTCCCGAGTGAGCCGGCCGCGAGCCGGGAGCGGGTGAGTGTGGCCGCTGCCGCCGCCGGCCCCGCGTCAGGGGCGGGGGCGCGGGGAGCCCGACCGGGGTGGGGGGTGCGGGGGGCGGCGGCGGCCCGGGCGCAGCTGGGATGCACCTTGAGCGCCGCTTTTCGTTGCAGCGCGGGCGGCCGGAGCCTCGGCGGCGGCGGCGGCGCTGACACCGACACCTCCCACCATGGACAGCTTCGACTTAGCCCTGCTCCAGGAATGGGACCTCGAGTCGCTGTGGTGAGTCCCACGCCGGCGGGCGGCCGGGGCGGCGGGAGCGACGGGGGCCGCGGCCCGACCTCACCTGGGCCGGGGGCTGCGCGTGGGGGTGGGGTGGTCCGGCGCCCGCTCCCTCCCGCCTCCCCGGGCGGACGCGCGGCCGCTTGCCCGTCTCCTTGCCCCCTTTCCAGTCTCCTCGCCCGGTGCCGCCCGCCCCAGCCCCGGGGCTGGGGATCTGGGGAGCTAGGGGCAGAGCGCAGCCATGGAGAGAAAAGACAGAACCGCTTTCTAGAACGTGTCACTAGTGCCGGATCCACCCTGCGACCCCCGAGCCCCGCTCTCTCCCTCCCTCTCTCCCCCGAGTCCCCTCGCCCCTCTCGGGTGCACACCGCGACCCCCTGGAGTTGGGCTGCGGGAAGCGCCGGTGGAGGATGCTCCCGCCAGGGCGCGCGGCGCCGGCGCCGGTCCCGGCGGCTCCGTCCTCTCTGCCCCTCCCACCCACTCCCACCCGCGATGGCAGTGCGCGCAGGGCAGGGCGAGTGTGTCTCCGTGCGGGAATTCCAGAGGCCTCGGCCCAGGGGACCCATTTCCTCGAGGTTCACCATTCCCGGGGGCCCTCTTTGCACACCTCGCACAGCGGTCCTCTGCCCCCCTCCACCCACCCGCGCCGCGTGCAGCTCTCGCGCCAGGCGCGGGCGGCCTGGGAGCCTCCGGGTGCGGTGCTCGGCTCTCAGGTTGGGGAGCTGCTGTGGGTAAATCGCCGCTAGAAGCAGTTTAATTCCGGTTGCTGGTGTTTTAAAAACCTCATTGGCTGTTTCAACATCCTTCTTACCGGTAACCCCCCTCCCTCTCCGCGCTCCCCCCAACCCCAATCGCCTAAAATGTTTCCAACCAGCCCTATTCAGGTGGTAAAATTACTGCATGCATATTATTCCTGGAGGAACTTGTGTTCTGTTTAATATTTACGGGAATGAACATCTGCTGAAACAAGCATATTAACTGCACCCTATTCTGCCCTGCTTATTGTAGAGCTGAGTTGTTTTTTTGTGTTTTTTTTTGTTTGTTTAATTCCGTAAAGAGTTCACACGTGTCTACAACTCCAAGTGGTGTGCACATGAATATGCAATGTACAGTTTTAAAGCTCAACTGCTTTATGATTTGTAGATCGTCGAGATGATATATGGATGGATGGATGTTTCCAGTGATTTAGGTTTCTAGTGACTTTTATCTTTCTGAAGCCAGGTGTCACGCACTTGACACAAAGCTAGCGTGTTGTGGAACAGTTTCTTATAAAATACATGAGGATGGACCCTAATGTAATAAAACTTTTATATATTACACTGTGGGATATTGGGAACTTCAAAGAGCCAGTGTAAAATGAATATGAAACATGTTATTACCCTATAAAAGTTGCTAATTACTGTGTTGTTGCTCCAGGGTTATTTCAGCCTTTCATTTACAGATACCTATTATTTTACAGGTTTACATTTAGGAATGCTGGTTTCTGGCACAAATTCAATAGGTTTCTAGAAAGAAACTGTGCTTTAAAAGTGACTTTTGGAGTTTTCCAGTCGTAGGGAGAGACATTGTTTTGGCATATTTTTAATGCAGCTTGTCTGCTTGCTGGTTCCAATCGAAGCCCCCTCATGATTTTTACAAGTAATATTTTGTGGGCTTTTCCAGCACAGGGCCTCAGCCTACTTCCCTTTGCGGCCTTAGTGCCCCGTGAGCTCCCTGGAGCACACTCACACAATAAATATCTGTTGAGTTGACTTGAAATTTACATTAGCTACAGTATACTCACTATTTTTAAAAGTGGAAAAAAAATCATTTTTTCAAGTCGCTATACATTCAACCAGATTTAACCAATGCATTAATTTCTCTTTGGCTTATGGAAGTGTACAGACTGTACACTTATGAAAGTGCGTGACTGGGAGTCTTTCTAGTTTGCAGATGTAGAAATTACATTTTACAAAAGCTTATATGTTTCTGATAAAGATAAACTCCTTGAATGCATTTTAACAGAGACGTTTTCTGAGTCATGGATACATTTTTGGATGGTATTTTCTAACTAAATTTTATGGTTTACTTTTAAGCTTATAAGTTTTTAAGTTTATGACTTACTTTTAAGGTTATATATAGATATCCAAAATAACTAACATTTGTGTGTTTTCTGCATGTCAGACATTTTCATATGCATCGTTTGCTTATTTGAATCATAACAATCCTAGAGATGACAGCCTGTAGTAGTCCCATTTTATAGGCAAAGAAATGGAGGTCTGAACTGTTAAGTGACTTACTGAGACTGTAAAACAAATGGACATTTAGTGAACACTTACCACTTATCAAATACTGTTCTAAGTATATTCCATGTTTTAACTCTGTTCTAAATACATTACATGTTTTTATGTCATTTAATCCTCACAACAAACAACCTTAGGAAGCAAGTACTATTATTATTCCCATTTTATAGTTTGGGAAAATGAGGGTGGGGAAGATCAGGTAATTTGCCCAACATCACATATCTACAACTAGAGGACCTATAGTCAGATGAGGCATTAATTTCAAAGCTCAGTTTTCTAATTTAAAATCCAGTGCAGTTTCTATCATACGGCTGATGTCTCCCAGTTTATGAGGCTAAAAAATTAATTAAATTAATTACAAAACAAAATTTTGATGGACTTGAAATTAAGGTTTTTGTTAAAATATGAAAGAAAGAGAAGGTCAGAGCCCTAAATGATATTGATCTAAAACTAAAAATTTGAAAACGAAATACCAAGATTTAGGAAATTATGCTTATTGTATCTGAATTAACTTATTACGTATATTTTAAATATATATATAAATTTAATATGAATGTATATAACGTAAATATATAAATTTAAAATAAAGAGCATTAGAAACTTCTTCCTTTAGTTCATCTTAGAAAAACACTTTTCTTTGGAGCGGTACAGGTTAGTGGAAAAGAGACTTGTATTTTAATCCTTAATAATTTTTTTTTTCTAATTGGTGGGCATCATTTTCCAATAAAACAAATTGCAGTTTGTTAGTTAGGTCTGTAGTTTTGAACCTTCAATAGCTTAGTCTAGTGGTCACAGAAAGTGTCCCAAGATGTCTGTATAGACGTTATGAAGAGAAAAGCTCTGTGCATAGAATATGATCAATATAGACAATTAGTTGATAATTCATGAACCATCTCCTCTGGCTCCTTACCTCCCCCCCCACCCCCCACGAACACCTATCCTTATGTTTCAAGAGAGGTCTTTTGACCTCCAGATAGCCATTTCAACGTTTCATTTCAGCCATACCTTAAAGTTGAGAAGAAATTTCCACTTCTGATTTGAAGCAAGAGTGGACAATGTGGAACAGGTTGAAGACACTCACTCTCACCAGCTCCACATCTGCTGTGGAGGTGCATCCCCTGAAGAGTCTGGGGTTCAGTCATTCAGTTGCTCGCAGGGGCAGATATCCACAGGAGCAGGGTCCCAGCCTCCCACACCTCCCTCCCTCCCTTCCTTCTCCCTGCTCTTCACCAGCTTCTCATCAGCTGGGCATGTAAGCCATTCCTCAGGGCCTTTAAAATAACGTCCATCCTTATAACAGGCTAACGGTTGCTTTTACTCATTTAACAAATATTTATTGATCATCTCTTTAAGTACAAGACCTTGTGCTGATTGCTGTAGGGGATACAAAGATGAATAAACCGTGGGTTGATATGTTATCGTCTAATAGGGGAATGAGAAGGGTGAAAAGGGAAGTTCTGAACATTTTTTATTCAGAAGACAGAAAGACCACACTTGGGACTGGGGTGGGTGGTGGAGGAGGGAAAGAGGAAAAATTGAGTTAAAAAAAAAAAAAAGGCTTCCATGGAAAAGGTGGCCTTTGAACTAAGCCTTGGAAGATGAATGGAATTTTTACAGACGGTGGGGGTGGGGGTATTGACAGGACATAGAGGCATCTTGGGCAAAGAAAGAGCTTGAACAAAGGCTGTCATGATGTATCTGAAAGATCCTTTCATGAATCATGGTGGAATTACCTATACCAAGTATTTTAAAGATGCAGAACTTTGTCATCATGAGTTACTTTCAGTGAATGAGAAAAGTTTTCCAAAGTGAGCTTGGTCAAAATTCGATTTAATCTTCCTTAAATATAAACACAGTTTAGTTATTGGGGAGAAAGTCTGTCGGAGTTTAATAGTAAATATTCAGATTCCTCTGTACTACACTACCATCCCCAGTAGCTTCACATAGGCCGGAATCTATTTACTTTTGTTCAGATAGGCATTATATTTTATATTCTTTCAAATTTGAATCTTTGAAGTAATGAATGGATATTTTATACTCATAAATTTGTTCAATTTAATAAGCATTCATGAAGTATTAGGCATAGGATAGGTACTGTAGAGCAATGGCTTGCAAATGTTTCAGACCATCACTCACAGTAACAAGTACATTTAATTTAACATTGCAACCCACTATATTCGGGAACATACAAGCACATAACTGAAATAAAGTGTCACGGTTACACTTATTGGTACTATGTATGATGCACTGAAAATTTCTATTCTATTCTTTTTCTTTTTTAAAAATTTCCCATTCATGGATTTCAAACAAAAGAAAAGAAACCTCACAGTAGGGCAGTGGTTCTCAGCCTTCTGGCTCTTTAAATATAGTTCCTCATGTTGTGACCCAACCATAACATTTCCGTTGCTACTTCATAACTGTAATGTTGCTACTGTTATGAATTGTACTGTAAATATCTGATATGCAGGATGGTCTTAGGCGACCCCTGTGAAAGGGTTGTTCGACCGCCAAAGGGGTCTTGACTCACAGGTTGAGAACCGCTGCTGTAGGGGCTGCAAAAGAAAGGTTTTCTGGGAGCCTGTAGGAGAGTAGCCATACATATAAATATCTGCAAAAGCTGACTTTGCCCGTTTCAAGGACATGAGGCCACATCCCCTTGAGAGAGTGAGACCTTCATGGTTAACTGGCATTTGACATGGATTTGACTGGCATTTGGCA